CGGCCCCCACAATTAAATTTCCTCGCGGCGATGAAACGCCCCCCCCCTCAACCCCTCTAAATGCATGCAAGTTTTCTCATCGCTTCGTTTGACTCATGCCGGAGTACATATAGTTCTACATGGTGTCGCGTCTCGGGGAACTCTCGCTGTGTGGGGGAGGGGTGGGGAGGTGTCTGGTCTTGAAGGTAAGAGCGAGTGCTTCTGACATAGAACTCAGGGATGAGCTCCGATTCTAACTTTATAATGTCGAGGGGGGAAATGCCTCAAGAATCCGATAGAGGGTCAATTTGGCGACCCTTCTCCTGTTCCGTTGTTGACTGTGTGCGTGCGTTACAGAGTTTTTCCACCAATCACACCGACGAGTCTGGTGTCTCTGTATCACTGCGCTTTATTTTCTTTAATTTTTGCTGTGTGGCGGCTTTGTATATTCTCGCCACGGGGCTTTATGTGCTTCCTGTTTGTAAATATATGATTTTTTTGTCGAGCCTCCACATAAAGTCAGGTAAAGCATTGTGTCTGTGTCTAAAACAAAACGTAAAGCGACGTCCAGCTTTAACCTCGTCTGCTTTTGCTGTACTGTATGCCTGTTGATGCTATCTGTGATGTGCCGGTGTTTCATGCTGCCAGAGTGAACCCTTCGCCGAAGTAAGTGCTTTGTAGAGCCCCCTAGTATTCCTTTCATGTTTTTCGAATTTTAATGCTTGCAAATGTTTTTCTCTCGAGAATACTTTATGTTACCCCAAGGAATTCGTTATGGTTTCCTAATGCATGCGGAAAATATGTCATTTTTATTCGTAAGCATGCGTTTCGTTGTAGACGACCATTTTCTAAAAATGCCTCACTAACCACGCGCGTCCTGCAGGGCGTAGACGAGGCCGCCGTCCTGGAGAAGCCCATCATCTACGTGCACTTCGCGGAGGGCATCGGCGAGAACAAGTACCTGCCCCTCACGACCTGGGAGGCGCTCAACAAGCTCCTGCTGGACGGCCTGGAGCAGTACAACGACATGGTGGCGTCCATGAACCTCGTGCTGTTCGAGGACGCCATGGACCACATCTGCAGGTAGGGGCGCCAGCCGGCGCCTGTTAGTTGGTGATCTCAGTGACCTCCTCGCCCGTCAGTGAGCCCCCACGGCCTTTTGCAGGATATCCCGCATACTCATGGGTCCCCGAGGCAACGCGCTGCTGGTCGGCGTGGGGGGCAGCGGGAAACAGTCCCTGACCCGGCTGGCCGCCTTCATCTGCAACCTGGACGTGTTCCAAGTGCAGCTGCGCAAGGGCTACGCCATCGCGGACCTCAAGGCCGAGTTGTCGGTGCTGTACCTCAAGGCGGGACTCAAGAGCGCCGGCCTGTTGTTCCTCATGACGGACGCCCAGGTCCCCGACGAACGCTTCCTCGTCATCATCAACGACATGCTCGCCTCCGGGGAAATACCAGACCTCTTCGCCGACGACGAGGTCGAGAATATCATCAACCAGATGAGAGGCGAGGTAACTATTTAAGGGGCTGGCACCTGCCCGCATCACTTTATTTCCCGTCACTATCATCCAATTTAATGTTTCAATTTTTTTTAAGCAAAGCCTCTTTTAA